GTTAATTGCTACTCTAATTTCTTTGTGTGGTATTTTTGTGAGAACTTAGTATTTGAGTTAAGATTCTATGGCAGCATACCCCCTAGTGCGCCGAAATTCATAACTCAAGAAATACTTCAAATTATCATACGATTCAAATTGGGAATTGTAGCCACCGACAAGGGCTACAACATAACTGAGTTTAGTAAATTTTTGACAATGCAAATTTTGTCGACGACGTTTCTTGTGAAATCGGCGATTCTGTCCAGAAACTAGGCCCAACGATTTTGAGATATTTAGGCCCCTAATCTTCGTAGACCTCGTCCTTAGTCTTGAACAGCCACAAGTCCTATCACTGCCGTTGGAGGAAGTCCGTCAAGAACTCCGGCAAGCCCAACCAGGGCAAGAAGCCGGATGGTTCTGGCCCTTCGGGCCCGAATGATTTTCCGAAGTCCAACTAGGGGGTGGGTACCTAGTTGGTGAGCGAGATCGAGTAGATGAGGCTTATGTCCTTCGTGATGAGGATTTACTATAGCTAGAGAAGCTTGCATCATGCGAAATCGCTTGTTTGTATGCCTCTTCTATAAATGAAAAAACTGTCTTTAAAACTCGATCATACCTACTTGAAAACATCTCAATGGAATCCTTGAGAGATAAATTTTCAATCATCTCTTGCTTGTTCAGCGAGTTGCCAGCAATCATGGATATTGTGGACCGTTGTGACCAAGAGCACCCTCTCACGTCAGTGGGATTGGTGACTCGAATCGTGAGAGAGTTATTCCGCCGATTTCACGAGTATAATATCCTGGCAACATGTTACAAATGGCACAATGTTTGGTGGACCACATCCCAAAGATTTGGACGTGCTCACAACAAATTTAGGGTGTACTATCGACCTCCTAAACTTGTTGTCGCTTGCCCCATCTGCCCAAGATTCCAACAGAATTTACTGTAATCTGGACGCATGAATGGGGATGAAGCAAGGATTCTCGTCGATACAGGCGCATCGGTTTCCCTTGTTGACGAAACTTGGGTTACGACACGCAACGTCCTCGTTGTAGGACCGTCATGTCCCATCTGCTTGGGTGACGATCGTGTCATTCCAAGTAAAGGACAGACACATATCGACATGAATGTACAGGACTATAGCAAAACAGTTCGCGTGTATGTCCTACCACTTTTGTCAGGTGTCGACCTCATCCTGGGCATGGATTGGTTGCGAGCCAACGAAGTCATTTTGGATTTCCAATACAACACTGTCTCGTTCAACAAGAACGGAAAGACAATCCAGTGGCAAGTCAATGATAGTTTGCTCACCGAAACACAGGCGTCTGAACGTTCAAGCGTGCTGTGTGTGTTGGCCAACCAGTTCAGGCATTTTGTTAAGTCGGCTGATACACTGTTCGTGGTGCAGCTTGAGAATGCCGAGGCCTCAGAGCCAGCAATTGAGGATTTCCCTCGTCAAATGCAAATACTGGCAGAGGAATTCAAAGAAGTGTTTGAAAACATCCCCGATGGACTTCCACCTGACCGCGCAGTGGGTCACACCATCCCTGTTGAACCTCGTAGGTTCCACCCTTTCGACCTCTGTATCGCCTCAGTCCAGCTGAGTACGAGGAGGCTAAACAACAGATCAAGGAATACCTCAGAAAAGGATGGATTGAATCTAGTGCATCCCCTTATGGAGCACCGATTTTGTTCGTTAACAAGGAGGGCGGAGGATTACGCATGTGCGTAGATTATCGTGCCTTGAACAAGATCATGGTGAATAACCGATACCCTCTACCAAGGATAGAAGATTTGTTTGGTTCCAAGGAGCTCAGTGGTTCAGTGCACTGGACTTAGCTCAGGGGTATCATCAGCTACGAATCACCGAAGATGTTCCAAAAACGGCTTTCAGAACGCCGTTTGGGCATTTTCAGTCGCGTGTGTTAGGTTTTGGGTTGACAAATGCTCCCGCATCATTTCAGGGAGCATTGAATGATGTGTTTCGGGAGGCAATCGGCCAATTCGTCCTACTATATCTGGATGACATCCTCGTTTACTCGAAGACAGAAGAAGAACACATGCAACACCTGAAATAGGTGTTAGGAAAACTGCGAGAGCATAAATTCTTTGCTCGGTTGTGGAAGTGTCACTTCTACAAACGCGAGTTGGAATACCTTGGTCACTTGGTAGGCAACGATGGCCTCAAAGTTGATCCAAAGAAAGTGGCGGCAGTCCAACAGTGGCACGTTCCACAGGACGTGGGACACGTTAGATCATTTCTTGGACTTGCGAATTATTTTCGCCGTTTCTTGGAAAACTATTCCTCCGTAGTCGCTCCACTGACTGCCCTCACTCGCAATGGTAATGCTTGGCAGTGGACGGATCAATGCCAGAAGGCATTTGAGGAGGTGAAAACCATGCTGACCAATCCTCCAGTGTTGGCTTTGCCAGACCCGTCCAAGCTCTTCGAGGTGGTAACTGATGCCTCGACAGTAGGGATTGGAGCAGTTCTTTTGCAAGAAGGACGCCCCGTGGCATTTGAGAGTAGAAAGCTTTCACCCGCTGAGCAGCGCTATACAACTTCCGAACAGGAATTGTTGGCGGTTGTGCATGCGCTACGAACATGGAGATGTTATCTCGAAGGTGTTGACTTCGTGGTCATGACCGACCACTGTCCGAACACCTATTTTGCCTCTCAAGCCACACTCACCCGCCGTCAAGCTCGATGGGCTGAACTCCTCAGTGGGTTCACCTATGATATTCGATTTCGAGTGGGCTCGACGAACATGGCTGATCCTCTGAGCAGACAGCCGATTGGGGCAGCAACAGGTGTTGATGATAATGAACATGCAGTAGTGTTTGCTGCTTGTTTTAGCATCCTCGCAGCTGCTCGGGTGAGCGAGATTGCCTTTGGTGGTTTTCTGAAATGCATCCGCGCAGGGTATGATATTGACCCTTGGTTTCAGAACCCACAGAATACAAAAGATCTCTTGTGGGAGCATGAGCTCTGGTGGCACAAGAAAGAAATTGTTGTCCCACATGTGGGAAACCTGCGGAATGATATTCTCGTAGAGGTGCACGCCACTAAGTATAGAGGACACCTGGGTGTCAAGAAAACCCAGTGGGCCCTCAGTGATGTATACTGGTGGCCGGGATTGGGCATTGAGGTCCAGCAGTTTGTAACTCGCTGTGACACGTGCGCGCGGAACAAGCCAAGCACACAGAAGCCTGGTGGATTGCTTCAACCACTCGAGATTCCCGATGAACCTTGGGAGAGTGTATCGATGGATTTTAGCACCGATCTCCCTAAGACGCGAGATGGTCACACGGCGATTCTGGTGTTTGTCGATTGCTTGACCAAAATGGTGCACTTCGTGCCCACGACGACTGACGTGTCTGCGGAGGATATGGCAAAGTTGTTTGTGACGCACGTTTTCCACTTACACGGTTTGCCTCGTGTGATGGTGTCTGACCGAGACTCGCGCTTCACAAGCCGGTTCTGGCAAGAGGTCATGAAGACACTGGGAACAAAACTCAAGATGTCGTCTGCTTTCCACCCACAAACGGATGGACAGACAGAGCGGACCAACCGCACCCTTGAGCAAATGCTTCGTTCTTTCATAAGCCCAACTCAGGACAATTGTTGACAGTCGTGGAATTCTCCGTGAACAATTTTGTGCATGAAAGCACTCATGAGAAACCCTTCGTCCTGAACTGTGGTCAGCACCCCACAACCCCTGCGACGCATGGGATTAAGAACCTCAAAATCCCTGCCGCAAAGGACTTTATTGGAAAACAGCAAGCTGCATTGAAGTCCGCTTGCCACTGGTTGCAGCTTGCCCAAAAGAGGCAAAAGTTCTATGCCGACATGAAACGCCGGGAAGTCGTCTTTGCAGTTGGCAACAAAGTATTACTGAGTACGAAGAATATTCGTCTCAACATCTCGGGAGCACAAAAGCTCTTCCCTCGTTGGATTGGGCCTTTCGGAGTGATTGCGCGAGTTGGTGAGGTCACATACAGGCTCAAGTTGCTTGCGACATTGCAGATTCACAACGTCTTCCACGTGTCTCTGTTGAATAAGTATGTTGCTGAAGGTAAGTACTTACCACCACCAACCATCGTTCTCGGAGAGGAACTCTTTTATGAAGTCGAGCGTGTGCTAACGCACCGTGATCGACAGCGCAGCCGCAAAATACTTCGTGAGTTCCTAATTCAGTGGAAAGGCTATGGGCCGGAACACAGCTCATGGGAGCGTGAAGAACACTTGACCCAAGCAGCGGTTCAAGCGTATATGAAAGACCTGGCTCTACGAGCAGGCCCACAACCAGTGGATAGGGTTGACCCTGGTCGTAATGTGGTGCGCCATGCTCGAAGCACTCGTCCTTAGAAGCACCCTAGGGCAACGGGGACGTTGCCACCTAGGGGGGGAGGAGTGTAACGCATCCCCTACGCCTACCTATCGACCTACCTCACTCCTAAGGCAACCATCGAGATTGAGCTCGATGAAGGTTGAGTTGCGAGAGATTGTAGTTGAGGTTGGAAAGGAAGGGTTGGGAAGGAAGGGTTGGTTAGGTTTGTCCAAACCTCAACATTGAGGCTTGGAACATTCCAGCCCATCAAAGTGAAATCACTAAGGTTGGAATTCCAACCAATCAGAAACTTCAAAACAATTATTACAATCTACTCTATCCTAAACATGACCATTGAATGGTTCTAAGTTGGGTTTTCCAACCCAACACAATTGCCACATGAGCTCCAAGCCTAGGAACCATCCCCCCCATGGAAGCCATGGTTGGGAGAGTTCCCAAAGGGGTGTATTGAAGGGGTTTGAGTTTCCAAGCTCATTCTCAACCTCCCACTAAAACTAAACAATTGGTAATGGGATTGTTTTGCCTAAGTCATTGAGAGCTCTCTCACACAACTTCCTACTCAACTTCTTCAAGTGCTTCCCATCAAAGGCTTCAACAAGACTCACACCTTCAAGGCTATTTGGAGGGGTTAGCTAGAGCTACCATCTTGTACCGGGATTATTATTAAAACCTTGTAATCTCTACTATAATAGCCTTGGGTGTTACAGAGGAGGCGGAGCGGGGAGGGGAGGCGCAAGGAGGGGAAGGGGGAGTGAGAATGCGGGCACGCGTGGCTTGGGTTTGGCGGAATTGGGGCGAGGGGCAGGAGAAGGCGTGGCACGGAAAGCATGAGCGGGAGTTGAAGGGCGGAAGAGGGGAGAATGGGCAGGCGAAGGGGTGGGGAAGTGCGGGATAGAGGGAAAGGGGGGAGAGCACGCGGCAGAAACAAGAGGGCGAGCGCAAGGAAGGGTGCAAAGGGGGGCCGCGAGTGGGGGAGCTGGGGGGAACGCGGAGGAGGATGAGAGGGGGGGCGGGTGCAAGTGAACGCAGCAACGTGGGAGAAGATTGGTGCGAGATGGGGCAGAAGCAAGTGTGCCGCTTGAAACGACTGATGGTGCTGGCGAGACAGGTGCGGGGAGAGGGGAGGGTGGGGGATGGGGAGGGGAGGAAAGAAATGAGGGAGGACAGGGGGTTGCTGGAGTGGGTTGCCGGAGAGAAGTCGAAGGAGGGGGGAGGAGGAGGAGTTGGGGTTGAGGGCGAGGGAGGGGGTGGGAATTTGTGACGGGGACGGGGCGGGGAAGGGGGAAGAGGAGGAGGAAGAAAGGGAGGAAGAAGAGCGTGTGGTGCATGGGGGTGGTGGGAGCATGAGAGGCGTGAAGTGGGGTGTGCTGCCACAGCGGTGGGGGCGGTAGAGGCTAGAGGGGGAGAGGATGAGAGGGTAGGGTGGGGTCCGAGGAGTGTGGATGGAGGGCAGGGGAGAGGCAACATAGGAGGAGCAGGGAGTGGAGGAGAGAGTGGAGTGGCAGGTGAATGGCGAATGAGTGGGTAGGTGAAGGCGAGGGAGGAGAAAGGGAGGAGAGAAGCTGCAAGGGAAAATTCTGGCGGTCCAGAACGTTCTCCCTTCTCTTCCTCCTGAAACCCTCGTTTTCACCAGCTCTTCCTCAGGATCTCTCACCTAACTCTTCCCACCGTCAGAGCTCGTTATTCCAGCCTATTCTCTCCCACCGCCATAGGTAAGGCAATTTCCAAGTGTCTTGTTCTGTCGTTTTCATGCTCTAGAGTCGGTGCAGCGACGAACCACTTCTAACAATCTCCCCTGTGGTTTGCTGCTGCCAACCTTAGATGTGGAAATCTTAATCAGTGTTCCTCCACCCTGCTCCCCTGTAAGTCCTGCAGGGTACGCATCCCGACAAGGTACTTGCAGCGCTCGAAATTAGCCTTCGGAAGGACCTTAGTAAGGAAGTCGGCTGCTTGATCTTCTGTCCGTACGAACTCAAAGGTAAATGCCTTTTTCTCTAGCTGTTCACGCACCCAATGATATTTAATGTCCATGTGCTTGGTCCGCCCGTGCCAGTTGTCGTTTTTCGCCAATGCTATGGCCGATTTGCTGTCAGATCTGATGGTTGTTGGACCTTGCACACGTACTCCCATTTCTTGTAGCAATCGCCTTAGCCACACTCCTTCTTGGCATGCGTAGAATAACGCCATGTATTCCGCTTCCGCGCTCGAGAGTGCAATGTCGTTCAGCTTCTTCCCTTGCCATGTGATTGCTGTCCCGCCTAGGAGAAAGACGTATCCAAAAGCTCCCTTCCTGTCCTTCTTGTCTGATGCATGGGATGCATCAGCGTATCCGATTAACTCCATTGCTTCTTCTCCGCCTTCGTATAGTAGCCCCTCTTCTCCCCGTTGCTGCAGATAGGTGATTGTGCGCTGCATCTCCTTCCATTTGCGGCCTTCTGGCTGCAGCACGTTCTGCCCCAAGAAGCTGGCAGCATGTGCACCGTCTACCCGCGTACAAGAGACAGGGTACATCACCGATCCGACCCGTGACTGGTAAGCCTTCAATGCCTGCTCCTTGCTGCCCCACTGGATGAGTTCTTCTTCTGGATTGACTTCCTTCTCTGACAGGCTGCTGAGCGGAGTGGTCACTGCCTTGGTGCAGTCCCGTGTTCCAAACCTTTCTTGCAACCGATGAATATACTTCTTTTGGTAGAGTAACAGCTTCTTCCCTTCTCGGTCCCGCTCCAGGTTCATGCCAAGGAACAACGTGGCTCTCGGGATCTGCTTCACTTGAAAAACGGCTGCAAGGTGAGTACACACTTCCTCAACTCTGTCCTCCAAAGCTCTAGCCACTAGGATGTCGTCGACGTAGAGTAGGAGGTAGACTTTCTCCTCTCCTTCGCCTTTCCAGTAAAACGCCCTGTCGCATTGGCTTTTCTGAAATCCCCCTTCAAGTAGGCGTGCATCCATAGCCTTGTACCACTCTCGAGGGCTCTGTTTCAGCCCATAGAGCGCTTTTAGCAGTTTGCATTTCCTGTCAGTCCCGTCCTCCATTCCTGTAGGCTGATCCATGTAGATGTCCTCTTGAAGTTCTCCGTAGAGGACAGCGTTCTTGATATCAAGTTGAACCATGATGTAGTTGCGTGCCGCAACGATCTTGAAGAGTGTCCGCGCTGTAGTCAATTTGCTGACTGGTGCATATGTCTCCGTGTAGTCGATCCCCTCCACTTGCGTATAACCTTTTGCCACCAGCCGTGCTTTGAACCTCTCCAGCTGCCCCTTATCCCCTGTTTTTATCTTGAAAATCCACTTGACGCCAACGGCATGCCTCCCTTCGGGCATTTGGACGAGTTTCCAAGTGCCTCTTTCCGCAAGAGTGTCCAACTCTTCTTGTATAGCTGCTTTCCACTGCTCCTTGTATGGTCCAGAGAGTGCTTCCTCAATGCTCAAGGGTTCATGCGGCAGATTGTAAGTCTCTCTCCTTTTCTTGGTAATCAACGCTGTCACCGTTGAGGTGAGGAGGAGGTGAGTGTGCACGTCTTTCCAGCATGTCATCAGGACCTGTTGGTATTTTTGATTCGGTTTCTTCGTCCGCTTCCCCCTTCCCAGCTCCTCTCCTTTCACCGAAGCATCACTTGCACCCGTGTCTGCTGCCATCTCCCCTGCTTTCTCCGTGCTTGTGCCGTCTTCCTCTCTCCCAATAAGAATGGCTCCATCCTGCAGCAAGGTGTCAATCTCTGCAGCTCCTTTGTCATTGTTGCTCGTCTCGAAAAATTCCCACGGGTCGCTTTTTCCCTCGGTACTTGACTGATCTGCTTGTTCAGCTTCATCCTCTCCAATGTCTCCATCTTTGTCGCTCGCTGATTTTGACAGAAGTGGAGTTGCAGGCGCCGCTTCCATATCACTGTTGTCGAGCTTATCCTCCGTTGGCTCCCGCACCCAATCCACTCCAGCTTGGGTATGTTCTTCTTCATCTTCTTCCCCTTCGTTGTTCGCTGTCCCCAAGCCTTCGTTTTGGGCATCTTCAAGCAGTTCCTCCGCTCGTTGAGGTGTGGCAGGTGCTGTCCTTGGAGTTGTTCCCGTGTTGCTTGCCTTCCAGTCCACGTAGCTGAGGTTTTCGTAGAATGTGACATCCCTGGTCGCCAGAACGATCCCAGTCTCCACGTCTTTAATAATCCAGCCTTTGCTCTCCGGGCATGTCCCTAAGTGCACCCCCCAACGTGCTCTTGGCAGGAGTTTGTGATCAGCTCCAGCAGAGGGCCTGTATTGCGTCATGCAGCCCCATACTCGAAGAAACTTCAGGTTAGGTTTCCGCTTGTAGAATGCTTCGTGAGGTGTCTTGTCCGCTACAAGTCCCTTTGTCGGTAGGCGATTTTTCAGCCAGCAAGCCATACCCAGCGCGTCTCCCCAGTAGGTTAGAGGTAGCTTGCTGTCCGCTATCATGCTTCGCACGCTGTTGAGCAGTGTCCTGTTCACCCGTTCCGCAACACTGTTGTGTTGAGGGGTATGGGGAATAGTACGCTGCCGTCGTATTCCCTTGGCTTTCAGGTAGTCGTTGAACTCCTTGTTGATGAACTCCCCACCATTGTCAGTTCGAAGTACTTTCATCTGCTTGCCGCTTTGCCGTTCAGCTTCCGCCAACCAGTCCACAAAGCTCGGAAAAACCTGAGTTTTATCCATAAGTTCCGTCACCCATGTGAGTCTTGTGCTGATGTCTGTGAACGTGACAAAGTATCTGCTGCTATGTCGTGATGTGACTCTCATGGGACCGCATACATCCGCTGCTACCACTTCCATTGCCCCATATGGCTCCTTCGGTCCATGTCTTGGATGGGGAGCCTTGGTAGCTTTCCCTTCGATACATGAGTCGCACTTCGTGTGGGTTTCCTCAGCTCCAGTCACCTTCACTCCCGCTGCCATGTTTTTCTTCATCATTTCCTTGATCCGTTGAGTGTTCGCATGCCCCATCCTTTTGTGCAGGAGATTGATATCAACCGCTTCCGCCGCTGCTGCTACGGGAAGCTTCAGCTGCTGCAGTTCGGTCACTGCAGTATTTTCCAGCATGGTACGTAGGTCTTCTCGGGCCTTCTTCCCCTCTTCAGGTTCAGGTTGATAGGTGACCTTGCTTTCACGCGAATCTTGCTCCTTCAGCTTCATCTCGTAGAGTCCTTGAGTCCGTGCGCCTTCCGCTAGCAGTTGCCAGTCGGGACCGAACACCCACAGCTTTCCGTTGTCACTGAACGTCTTGCAACCACTGTTGTCCAGTTGCGTTTGTCTTATCAGGTTGAGGGACAGCTTCTCCACCAGGAGAACGTTGTCCATTTTCAGCTCCCCATAGGGGCTCTGTAAAATGAGGTCCCCTTCTCCTTGCACTTGAAGTTTTCCTTCATCCCCGAGTAGGACGTAAGGGACTCCGGATTCCCGGTAGTCGCGTAGCCAATCAGCGCGGTGCGTCATGTGCTGTGTGCACCCGCTGTCCATAAACCAAGCCGTCTCCTTGAATCCTTTTGACAGCAGGCACACCTCGGATGCTCGAGCAACGTTGGCTTTGTGGGCGCCTCCAAGGATGGCGTCCACCTTTGGCGTTTCTTCCACTACTGCAGGTGCCTCCATCAGGTTTGTCTTCGCTGCTGCTGCTGGTCTTTGTTGTTGCAGCTCCTTTCCTCGGAAGTTTCTGCTAAATCGGTTGTTGTAGCAATTGGAAGCTTTGTGCCCATATTTGCTGCAATGGTTACAATTTCCATTGAAACCTCCGCTTGCCTTGTAGCCTTCTCCACGCCTTGCATCGTTGTGTTGTTGCCACTGTCCTTTCCCTTAGTAGTTCCTTCCATTGGGGTTGGAATAACAGTCGGCAGCTTTGTGCCCCTTCTTCCCGCAGTTGTAGCAGTTGCCAAAATCCCTTGGTGTTGCAGTTGCATTCAGATTTGCAGGCCTGTTGACCTCTGCTGCCGTTGCCACTGCTTCCCTCCTTTTCAGGTCAGATTTGACCAGCTCCAGCGCTTGGAGGGTCTCGAGCAGCTGGGTCATATCCTTGGGCGTGTTGCAGGTAAGAATTCCGATCTCTGCTGTCCACTCCTTGGGTAGGCCGCTGATGATGTATCCCATCATGTGCTTCTCTGATTCAGGCGCCCCCATTGCTGTGAGATCATCATTGTAGCTCTTGGCTCGATTCACGTAGTCAATGATCTTCTCCGTTGGCTCCATTGCAAGCAGCAGCAGTTTCTTTCTCACTGCAGTCAAATTCGTGTCGCTCCGTCCGAGATACACCGCTTCCATGTATGCCCATGCACGTTGTGCTGAATTGATGTCGTCCGCAAACTGGTCCAGCCCCACAGCGATGGAGTCCGAAACTGAGTGACACAGTTGGAAGAAAGCTTGCAAACTTTTCTTCTTGTATGTCTTCTTTTCTTGTGCCGTTGCCGTTGCAGGTGGAGGTACTCCTTCCTCCGTCTCCTCGTTCGCTTTGTAGAGGGGCCAGATATCAACTTCTCTTGCCCTCCGCATGAACTTAAGTCGCCATGTGCTGTAGTTGTTGTCAAAATGAGGAATGATGATGCCATTGATGTTGGTTGGGGTACATATAACAAACCCTAACTTTTGTACCCCCTAAGACAAACCTCACTACAGGCTACAACATTTGACACACCCCCATAGCCTAAGTGAGGGGTGTCTAGCAAAATAAAAAAAAGAGTACGGTCACAAGACCAGTCCAAAAGAAAACAAAGCTCACGGTGGATCACAACGTCACCACACTCTCTGAGCACAAGCAACAGTGGCCACAAGGCCAGTCCAAGAGATCACAAGTATATATAGCAAGAGTACAGACAAAGCAGGCAATAAACTCAAGCCTACACATGACTAGAACCTGTGTCAACAAGGCCTAACTGCACACAACACCTCTGGTGGTCACGAGGCGGAAGCGCCTTGGTGAAGATGTCTGCAGTGTTGGCCTCGGACTCCACAAACTCGAAGCGAGCCTGTCCACGTCTCTGCAACTCTCGCAGAAGAAAGTACCTGACGTGAATGTGCTTCACTCTGCTCTCCAGTGGCGGCTCACGACAGAGAAGGATCGACGCCTTGTTGTCAGTGAACAAGGTCGGTGCAGAGCTCGGCCGCTCACCAAGGTCGGCGAGCAAGAAGGTCAACCAATGCAACTCCTGTGCCGCCATGGCACCAGCGCAAATCTCAGCCTCAGCTGTAGAGGTCGAGACAGAAGAGGAGCGCGTGGAACGCCAGGAAAGAGCTCCAGAACCCAGACTGAAACAGTACCCCTGAGTAGACCTGTGAGTCTCAGCGTCGTCAGCGTAAGAGGAGTCACAGTGACCAGTGAGTACGACAGACTGCTGCCCTCCAAGAACTAGCCCCACGCCTGATGTAGTCGCTAGGTACTTCGCCACCCTCACAGCTGCCGTCCAGTGAACAGGACGGTGTCTCCCTGGCGCAACAAAGCGCGCAAGGATGCTGAGAGGGAAGGCGAGGTCCGGGCGAGTACAAGTCATCAGGTACATGAGGCAACCCACAAGCTCTGCGTAGGGACCACTAGGCTCAAACGGCTCGTCAGGAAAGGGACCAGTGAGTCTGTGGTCAACAGCGAGAGGTGTGCGCTGTACGGTGGAGTGCTGAAGCCCGAACCGCTGAAGGACCTGCTGCACCATGTGTGACTGTGAGAGTGTAATGGTGCGAGCGGCTCTGTCCCTGGTGATCTGCAGGCCAAGGTAGTGGCGCAGCTCACCAAGATCAGTGCACGTGTGTCTCTTCTGCAGTTCGGACTTCACGTCTGCCAAAGCAACCCTGTCCGGAGTGGCGAAAACGAGGTCGTCGACGTAAACCAGAACAAAGAACGGTGTGGAGCCACGACGAACGAACAGCGACGGGTCGGCAGAAGACGGCTGGAACCCAAGGTCAGAGAGGGTAGAACCCAGAGTGTCGTGCCACTCACGAGGGGCCTGGCGAAGACCGTAAACAGGTCGCCTCAGCCTCCACTGGGTCCCAGGAGGGAAGGTGCGAGTGAAGGCCGAGGGACGACGCAACCAGACCTCCTTGTGTAGGCTGCCCTGAAGGAAAGCAGTGGAGAAGTCGAGAGAGTGTAACTCGTAGTCTCTCCGTGCTGCTACGTGTAGTAACACCCGAAGAGTGGTCATCTTTGGGGTAGGTGCGAAGGTCTGAAAGAAGTCAACTCCCTCGCGCTGACTGAAACCTCTAGCCACGTAGCGCGCCTTGAAGACCGGGGGAGATCCCGGTGGCCGCTTCACCCTGTAGATCCACATGCCGTCGACTACGTTCGCCCCAGGGGGGGGAACCTCATCGACGTAGGTGCCTGTGGATCTGTAGGAGGCCATCTCTACGTCCATGGCAGCTCTCCACTGAGAGGCCTAAGGCCCTGACACTGCCTCAGCGTAAGTGCGAGGAGTCGGAATGTCAAGGGCGTCAGGGTCACCCTCAGGGGCGAGGAGCATGGCACAGAGATGAGGGGAAGCGGCCGCCAGGAACTCTAGCTCAAACTGCCTGTCCTCTAGGGCGTCACAGCCAAGGGCAGACACACCCCCGACGGCCAGAGGACTGGTAGGAGGAGCAGCCACAAGCGTGGTGGCGTAGTCAAGGCGGCGGGTAGAGGCAAAGTCAGTAACTGCGGCAGTAAGAGCGGACACAGAGGACACAGAGGCACGAGGGTGAGTAACAAGAGAGGCGAGAACACGAGAGAGAACAGGACGGTACGTGCGGTAGTAGTCAGTGACAGGAGTAGGGAGCGACACAGTGAGGGCCGACTCAGGAGGAGACGGAAGCACAGACTGAGACGGACGAGGTGGACTAGAAAGAAGGAAGGCAGTACGAAGGTCAGTGAAGGGAACAGGAGACGAGGGACGAGCACGAGGGGAGCGACGAGTAGCCCAAGAACGAGACGGAGGAGGAGAGGACAAAAGCGGAGAACTGGGGAAAACAGCGGGGGAGGAGTCAGGAGGAGGAAACGTGGGACCGTAGACAGGAGGAGAGGCGGAGGAGGGAGGAGAAGGGGAGGGGAGACCAAGGGTCCGAAGACCCGAGACAGGAGGAGGAAGTGGCTGCTGCTGCTGGTGCTGCGACTGCTGCTGCTGCTGCTGCGGAAGCGGCTGCTGCTGGGACTGCTGCTCCTGCGGGTCCAGCTGCTGCTGCTGCTGCTCCTGCGGCTCCAGCTGCTGCTGCTGCTCCTCCAGCCGCTGGAACTCCCTCTCCTCTCTCTCCAACGCCAGCTGCTCGTCACGGGCACGGCGAACACGAGCCTGGTGCCTAGTCGGGTAGGGGTGGGGGGGCGGAGTAGTGTCCGAAGCAGCGGTAGCTCCAGAGTCCACCCCCGAAGAACCAAGCGCACCACCCCCAGAGGCAGCACTAACACCAGCTCCAGACCCAGGCTCACCAGAACCCAAAGGAGGCGCACTCTCACCCCCAGTGTCCGCGCGACCAGCACCAGCTCCCGGACGACAAGAGTCCTCTGCACCCACCGGGTCAGCTCCAACTCCAGAACCAGAAACTCCAGCTCCAACTCCAGCTCCAACCCCAGCACCCCCAGAACCAGAAACTCCAGTGCCAACTCCAGCTCCAACTCCAGCTCCAACTCCACCACCCCCAGAACCAGAAACCGGTACAGGAACAGGCGCAGCACCAACCTCTCGAGAGCTAGCACCTGCGGCACGCTGCGAGGAGGACTGTGGGGAGGGAGGCTGTACCGGAGAGGCTACCGAAGGAGGAGGGGTAGCCTGGGACACACCCGACGGGGCTGGACCAGGGGGGGGAGGCTGTACCGGGGGAACAGGAGAAGGAGCGGCAGTCAGGAAGAGGGGGGGAGGAGGAACCTGGAGACCTTGACTGGGGTACCTGACGTAGTACGGAGTGGACTCCTCGAAACGGACGTCACGGGAGTCAAAGAACCGGTGAGAGGGAGGGTGGTAAAAGGTGAAGTCAGAGGAGTCCTCAGGGAAACCAAGGAAGACACAGGGGACGGCACGAGGCGAGAGCTTGTCCGCGGAGGTGTCGCGGACAAGAGCCAAGCACCCCCTGACACGAAACCGCGACGCATTACCAGGGGACCCTGTCCAAAGACTGGTCGGTGAAACCTCTGGTCGAGAGACACGTGGCCAGAGGTTCAGCTGGTGCGCGGCGTACCTGACCGCGTAGGGCCACAGAAAATGGGGGGCACAGGCGTGAGTCAGGGAGGTGCGGGCGATCTCCATGACCAGGCCTATGCGGCGCTCAGCAACCCCATTCTGCTGTGGGGACTCTGGAAGCGTCCAGGACTGACGAATGCCCTGCTCGCGACAGAATCCAGCAAGAATGCCGGAGCGAAACTCACCCCCACGGTCGGAGTGGAGGCAGCTGACACGACGACCACGAGTGTCCTCAGTGGTGAGCAACCACCTGATCAGCGTAGAAGTCACCTCAGACTTCTTCGCCAGAGGGAACACTGTGGTGTAGCGGGAGAAGTCGTCAACGACCACCAGAAAGTAGCCCTCACGCTCAGGGCCTAGACGAGGGGCGGGGCCCCAGACGTCCAAGTGAAGCGTCTCAAAAGGCTCGGTGGCCGGACGAAGGGAGGAGGAGTGAGGGGCGGCGCGCAGCCGACCCTCGACGCAGGGACCACA